GTTAAGCGCCAGGTACGCCAGCAGAGGCCTCGTCCTGCAGCCGCGCCATGAATAGAGGTCCGTCCCCCTGGAAAGTTCAACTGATTTTTTTTTTTTTAAGAGTCTGAGACAGTGCCAGAGCCAAGGGTTGAGGATCATGTAGCGTATGGGGGTGGTTAACAGGTGAAGGGGGGCCAAAAAGGGCGTAGCCGGCTGGTGGTCGGTGAAGGCCGGGAAGCAGCGAAGGGGGGCTGGCGTCCCGCCGCCGGGGCTGGGTAGCCACAAGGCTGGAGGAGCTCCAGAGCATGGGTCGAGCGCTGCAAACCCAAGCGCTGGTTGGGGCCATGACCAGGCCAGCTTACCTGGAACAAACTACATTTATCATGCTGTCTATAGATTTTAAATACTTAGTGGGTTTTTTAATCAATCATATCAGCACTTGCAGTGTAACAAAGTGCTGCCAGTCTGTCCTGTCATACTTCGACAGCCTTTTATTTTATGAGGTGCCAGGGAGCAGCAAATGCGAAATGCGTCCACAAAGGCAGCTGGATGTAGCCATGCTGCTGCCTAGGCTGCTTCCCTTTCTGCGAAATCCTCAGCCTCCCGCTAGGTTTATGCATGCCTCAGAAAACGCGTGAAAAGAGCAAGGTGGAGGTGAACAAGTTTCCTAAAACATGCTGGGAAAGGCTGTTAGAATTAGTCGGTGCTTTACCTTCAGCTTCAATGCACGTTGGAGCGATTCCAGCCTGTGGGGAGATTCCCTTGATCATGTGATGAAATATAGCACTTCTCTAGCAACAAACTGCACTGCCTTGTCTTTTGCTGAATTCTGTGGGTGTTTGATTAAGTAAACGAGGTGTGGCTTGGGCCTTATAATAACGGAGTAAGGTGTAAAGGGGTTAGCAGTCTTTAAATGATCAGCAATGAAATTTATGTGGGTGTAATGGCACACATTTCAGAAAGAGATGTTCCTTATACCTTCTGTCATGTGTCTCTGTGGTTGTAATTTACCTGTAAAGATTACAGCTATCTTGGAAATGAGAGAAAAACACCATCCATTTCACTGTGAAAGCAACCTCCCACCTCTAAAATAAACATTATTATGAAGCAGGTTTTTTGTTTTTTCATTCCCAAACTTTGAGTTTGAAATAGGAGTGAGGGCAATAATTTTAATCCTTGTGAGGCAGTAATGGACTCAGAAAAACGTCTGCCTGTGTGGCTCATGTTAGTGTGAGATCTGTGTGCATGCCAGCCTGTCTTACCATACACTTGATTTCTGTGGGGTGGGAACCTGGAGCGTGTGGGTCAGTGAGGAGCTATTGTATGCTCCAGCCAGGTCTCTTGTGGGTGCAACCTGAGACCTGTGGCATGCCAGAAAGTACACCTACCCATCCATAGCTTTTTGTGCTTGCAGTGGCTTTACCAGGGCTTTCAGGGTCTCCTTTCAGCTGCTTACCCCTGCCTTTTCTGCCCCATAGCTGCAGATGGTCAGCTCTCCTGCATTGCCAGATTCAACAGTAGCAATTAAGACATGGTCTGTTTGGTTTTTCTCACTTAATACCTTAAAACTAAGAGGCTTGTATAAAGCTTTGCATCTTCCTGGGCTTCAATATTGTTGTTCCAAAGTTTAATTACTATTTCTCACTGAATAGTGTCTTCCTAAAAAGATTTTTTCCTTTCTATATTGCTTCTGGATACAAACCTGTCATTCTCTGTAAGAAGTATAATCTTTTATAGTGATGAATTACCCATATGTTTTTATTCTATTGATTATTTTTTCTGTGACACACTTGTGTAATATATTGCTGCCTCCAATTGTAAATTAGTTTGTATATAAATAATATTTTTTTTTTCTGTAACAAATGTTATCATTAGTACTAAGCCCTAAAAGAATGACTTTGGGGAAATAACGTATCCTGTCATCTTTTCAACCTATAATTGTCTTTGTTATTCCATTCTAAGTAACACAATTTAAAAAATTACTTCACTATAATTATAGCAACATATTGCATCAATGAAACGGCCTTTGATCCCAGAAAGACTAATATATAAAACATCTGCTAGTCTGATGCTGATCATTCAATATAAAGTTGATTAATATCGAACATTTATTTCCCATAAAATAAATTTCCTTTCACTAAATGTAGCAAATAGTTAAATTCTCCCCCCCATCCCTATTAAAAGTTTGTGCCTTGAGGCCTACCAGCAGGGCATGCAATACCTACATTAAACCAAATTTAAAAGTAAGGGTGCTCCTGCTGCTAACGTCCTCAGATCACAGACATGCAAAATGAAGGAACTGGCAGCTGAAACTTTAATGGTAGGAAATGTAGACTGAATACTTGGGGAAAAAACACTGTAGCTCTATATGACAAAAAAGTCCTATTAGCATTTATGTACTTCAAAATGATGAGCTAGACGATTCTACATAACTGTGGGGCTTTTGTTTTAAGTAAAACCCTGTGCTGTAAGTATAGCATTACTTACATTTTTTTATTCAAATGATTGTTGCTATTATGATTATGTATTATTTTGAACGTTAATACAGTGCCTGTTGTTGCATTGCACACTGTATATTCAATCATTTCTCCACCTTATGTATTAACTTAAAATATTTATTAATACTTGGACCTAGATAGCTCGAGGAAGCACAGGGAATCACACGCAAGTAAGGTTCCTGAATCAGTTGTCCCTGTGCAAATCAAAATCACTCCAGTGAAAGAGAGAAAACGATTGACAGTGAGATCATGACTCCTGCTGAAGTAGTTCTGAGGCCTGAAAAGATTTGTGTGGAACTGGAGTCTGGTTTTACAGGTAACACACTGGAAATAAAAGAGAGTTGACTGGGAAGCAGCACAAGAAGGATAAGAAAGTGCATCACTGTGAAGACATTATTTCAAGTAATGTTGGTTTTTGTTTGTTTATTTTAGTTAAACTGAATGTGTTGCCTCAAGCAATCCTGCAAAGCCCAAGGGAGAATCCTAGGTTCATAGAGCAGACTGTTTGCCCCTCATTAGACTTTGCAAGGTATGTACCCTCTTTTCTTTCAGAGTATCATTTTTACTGTTAATAGCTTCAATCAGCTATGCCAAGGTGACAAATTATGTTTGCTTTTTTGCAGTATTTGAAACTGCAAAAATCAGAGGCAAGAAAATTCTCTCCTAGGAAAGTTTTGTAATTAAAAGTGAGGGGAAAAAAACAAAATAGGAAACGTGTTCTGTTTAAAGTTGATACTTCATCCTAATTTTTTAAAACCTCTTCAAAAGCCACCGGATGTTCTTTCCATTTAACATTGATGTGAATGTAGGTCATTGAAAATGTACTTATTTGGATGAAAAAACATTTTAATTTTTTTTTAATTCAGGCACAAAACAGTTATGCATCTTTCAAAATACAATGAATAAAACTGGCTTGAAAAACATTAACCTGTACTTAATAACTGAGAGAGTTAACTACAGTGCCAAAATACTTTCAAGCCATCTTCTTCTTGCATATACTTACATAGCTTTCCATTCCGTTCCATTCATTTCTCCTCTTACTTGTATCCATACATTTTTGTCTCCCTCGGTGAGTACCAGTCTCTCAGTTACTACCCTGCCCCACTATGCTCTTTTTCCTGGAATTGCCTCCATTTCAGAAAGAATTGTGATTATTTTCTTCTTTCTTCACTTCTTTTTTTTTCCCCCTTTTTTAAATTCCACTCCCATTGCCCCCATCCTAGCATTCCCCTTAGCCTTTGGCTGAAGGAGCTGGGGCTTCTCAGAGTTCAGCAGCTGCATGTCCATGTCTAAAAGTAGTAAGGATCTAGAAACATGGTATGCTTGGGCCCAGTCTTTCTGAGTGGCTCATACTGATAGGAGTCCTCTCAGACATTGATAGAATAAGGACATGCAGTTATGTCTTGCAATTTTTTTTTTTTTAATCTTTTATGGCCGAAGCCATGTTCTGTAGCTATCACTTTTTCCAGTAACTACATTGTTGGAGAATTCACCGGAGAGGTAGGAGGTTTGTTTCTTCCCCTTACTTGGAGAGTTTCAAGAAGATCATTCTGCAGCAGTCATATAGAAGTTGTGCATATTTGCAGAAAAGAAATATGTGATTCTGTAATGGTCTAGACCATGCTGTATAATCCTAGTCATAAGAGCAAGACAAGCTCTGCCATTTTCTTTGATAGGAAATTTTGAGAAAACTGGAGTCTGAGTTAAAAAAATAGGCAGTAGGGATAGAAAGTTATGTGAGAATCAGTTTGTTCCTTTATGCAACTTCATTCTGTTCTTTGATTAAAAAGCCAGGTGTATTTATCATGAAGTTTATTTCTAGAAAAAAATCAGTAGCTTTTTTTTTTGTTGTGTAGACTGGTAACAGAAATAGTTATAGAAACACATGGTGTAAATTGTTAATTCTGGGATAGGTGTCCATTGGATTCAAATCTATTTGTCTTTAATAAGTGAGTGATTTAAAATTAAATAGGAGCCAATTTACATGTGAAGTAGACTTTTTTATAAACTATTTATGAAATATAGCGAGTCATCATGGAAACGATGGAAAAATAAGGCTAAAACAGTTTGGAAAAAGTGAGTGACAACTTCTGGAAGAAAAGAAACAATGCCTCTTAGCCAGTGCCATCCTCGCTTCATTTCTTTATTAAGAAACAATGTCCACTCCAAGTCACAGTCTCTGTTCTTCACATTAATTACTTTTATTGTTTTTAATTCTCATTGCATGTAACAAGCCCTTTTAAATAACGATTATTTGAGTTGATGGTATTTTCTACTGTGTATTTTTTCCTATGTATCACCTGCCTGTCTTTTCTGTGTTATTGCTACATTAACATCTTTGATATTAATAACTACGATGAGATAAGTGTTTATTATTTTTAGTAACTTAAATTCTTTATGATGGATGACCCTGTTTGTAGTTGCATGGGTCCGATACAGGGTATTGCAGAACATATGTAAACAGTAATTAATTTGCAAATTGTTGCTTTTGGTTTTTTCCCCTTAGCTGTAGTTGTCTTTAACGATGTTACCAATAAGAACTCAGAAATTTATACCTTGACTATAAGGCAGGTTACATTTTAAATTGTATATTACATTTTAAATTGATCAGGGCTTTTCCCCTGATTGTTTTTTATTAAAATACCTTTGAGAAGATAATGAGAAGGCATCAGGCTTCCCTTTGTTCCGGTTTGATAGGATTTTTAACTGCAATGTAGATTAAATTGCAGCAAGCTGGTAGTGATGCCTAGGAATTTGCTTGTTGTAGTTGACTATTTCAGTTTGTGGGTTTGGATTCCCCCTGCCCCCTGTATCTGGTGTGTTCCTTATGTGCCACCGATGGTAGAAAACTCATTTTTGCAGTGTTAAAGTGGAAAGGTCAGCCAGAGTTTTTTGTGTTGTCTACTGAATACTTCATATTTAATTACTCAGGGATACTATTTTTCATTTTTCTATTACCTCATATAAACCTATTGTATCTTGAAATATGTTTTACGTCCGTTTAAAATATACAATAATTACCTTACCTTCATTATCCTAATGATATTATGTATTTCCCTAAATTGTGACTATTTTGGTGTGAAAATCTTGATATCAATTAAATCTTGGTATTGATTATAACTGAATTTTTATGGCAATATCCAAAAGGTGTACATTTTGCATGCTCAGCAACAACTCACACAGATTGTGTTATGTGCAGCTTGAAAGCATAAGCCTCTGATGGTGCAGCTCAGTAGTAGTAAATTCTGGAACAAATTTAAATGCCCTATTTGTGCCGGAAGTTTTCACTATTACATTTTTTTAAATACAGACATGTCAAAATATCTCTGCATTGCTTAGCTATTTTGTTTTCATTTGCATGAACTTCATGAAGTGTGTTTGGTATTCTCAGAGCAATAAGGAGCATGACGCTTATATTAGCTAACATTATGAAGGAATTTACTCTCATCCCTGTAATGAAAGACAGCAGTGTAATACAGACAGAGACAGAGGAAAGTAATAGATTTATGTGGAACACTAATGTTGAATTTCTTTTATCTTCGAGTGATTAACCAGACAATCTGGTTAACATAATCTTTATGCTCGTTTAAAGAATAATAAGAATAAATTCATATTACTTTTGTAAACATAATACCCTCTACAGTCGGAATATCAGAATCTATTTAAATACACTTTATGGTCAGTAAGTGCATATTATTCTTTAAAATTCAAGGCATCTCTTTTGTATCAGAGCGGAGATGCAAAGCAGTGATGGCTCAAGTGAAAGGTGAAATGATGTACAGTTCAAATTTTAAAATTAGATCCATACATCCTGAAACTTGCTGTTTATTTTAATGCCCTTTGGATTACCCTCTTAGTGGACCATTTTTTGCAATATGCTGCTCAAACTGTGGAAAGCTGAGAGCGAGTATTAAAAGTCTGCATTGCATTAAGGAAAACACTTTGAGTTGGGTTTGGGATTTTTTTTGTTGATTTTCTTTTTTTTTAATTTTGAAAAAATTAAATACAAAACATATTGGACCACTCTGGTCCATACTGATAATGAAAAAATGTAATGGTTCCGGTTTAGAAAACAGTTTAAATATAGATAGCTTAATGAATTATTATTGATTTAGGTAATACACAGTTTCTTCTCGTTTAGACAGAAATATCAGATAATCTGGTCCTTGAAAGCTAATATCAACTCTGTTTTCTTTCAGAAATAAAGATCTGAAATAGCTACAGACCAAAAAATTAAAAAGATATTTGTATGTGTTTATAGAACATCTGATATATTACTTTGTCAATATTTCAGTATTTAGCTCTACTTGGCAATGCTGATACATTATACATGCTGCAGGAGTCTATGTTAGCACCTCACAGTGTTTCTTTTAATTTTTTTCATTTAAATTTAGGATTCATTTGATCAAAGACAAAGATGGCATAGATGATTATTTGGCGAAGAATATCAAAGGGTTGTCAAAACAAGAAGCTGCTGCGTAAGTTGGCTTTTCTGAGGCATTTTAACATCCACAAGTTTATTGTTTCCTTTGTTTCTAGTCATCATAATAATTTAAAGTTCCCTAGGCCCTACCCTTTTTACTGGAACTTGGCATTTAAAATTTGAAGTCAATATTAAATAATGGTGTTTCATTTCTCCTGATCTTAAATATATCAAAGCATTTAACTCCTTGGTTTTACTAATTTGTATATTTACCAAAGTATTCTATCACATTTGTAACATTATTGTTAAGATTGTGTTAGTAATTATATTTTAAATTGTGCTGCTTTTTTTTTTTTTTCCTGAGTCTCTGTGAAATATCTCCTCCGGGGTGGAAGCTTAGTATACCAACATACACATTCTTGTAATTTTGAATTATTATTTAGCCAAGCCCAAGTGCTGACTTCTGCGGTAAAGCATTTAATACACCATTAGTTATTTAAAAACCCAATGAATGAAAGAAATCTAGATAACTTTTGATTTCTTGCAGCTGAGGTATTTACATTTAGAAGCTACAAGAGACTCTGACTTATTCTTCTGGAGTCTTTTAACAGATCTGGGGTTCAGCACCATCAAAATTAATGAAAGAATTCTAACAAATCTGAATTGCTGGTTGCTTAAGTGAGATGATTTATTTATTTCAATATTTAAATAATAAAGAGATGCATATACGAGGGCTCTAGGCACCTTAGGAATTAATATTGCAAGATCACCCTTGCACCATAAAAACATTCTATCAATCAGGCACGAATTCAACCAGCTAGTTTCTTGCAAAACATGCTTCTTTTCTCCTTCCTAGCCTAAGAATGTACCTGCAAACCTTCCCTAAAAACTTTCAAATGAAAATCTAGAAAATTACCAAATTTGAGTTGAGGGGTAATAACTTTAGCAGTGTCCTAAAACCATACCATATAATACTCAGGCAGCAGACACACTTTCCTTTCCGATTCGCCTTTATTTTTGCAATGGTAACATAATAAAGCTAACAAGTGTTCCTGCTGTCAGTACAAAGATTGTAATATATCTGGTCTGATGACCTAGGAGAGCAATCTGTTTAAAGCAAACTCATACCCCACTTCTTTTATTTGAATTAAGACCAAGTTCAAAGTTGATGGATTAAAGATTAGTTCAATGGTGGGATTGGGCAGGACCTTCTCAATATGTCACCCTAGGGTTTGCAAAGTTCAATTTGTTCCTTTGTTTCTGTAGGAGAGACTCAGTTATCATGGTCATCTCTCTGTGGGAGAGAGCAGCCTGACAGTGACAGGGAAGTGAGTTAGGTGAGGCAGTGGGAAGTGCCGTGTTACTGCTCTGTGAGTACATGTGGTTGATGTGGGACAGTTACCTTTGATCACGCTTGTTGTACTAATCGTGCTTGGTGTCGTAGCTGGTTTAAATATTACCTGCTTAAATAGAAGGGAACATAAGATTGGTCTGTGACAGTCACATTCTGCATGAGCTGGACCAGCGTAAGGAACAGATCCTTCCTGAGCAAATGCTGTGTTGACAGAAGTCCTGTCCCCTGAATTAAGGGTAGGTCTGTGAGGCGGGAAGAAGTATCAGACCCCAGGGAGCAAGCACAGAAATAAGTACATTCACTTCTTGTCACCCTAGTTCCATACCAGCTATGCAGTGCTGCTGCAGTCGTTATGCTACAAGTTTGCAGACTGACTTGCCTTCCCAGTGAGATGTTTCAGTCCTTAGTCCCAGTGGATTTCCACAGTACACACACCATGCTAGGGACCGTACTCTCTGTGATTTCATAGGAAGTCACTGCTGTTTTAGGAAGGCCTTGGGGCCTCAAAGTGCATTTTACAGCTCTGATTTGAGCAGGTCAGCCTTTTACTGCTATTAAAAAAACCACACTAACAAACAAAACAAAACAAAAACAACCCCAAAAACCCTCCTATACGATTTTTTCTTTATATATCCAAACTCTGAGTCTGGAGGTTGTGGAAAGGAAACAAGCAAGGAAATCCACAATGAAGGGAGAATTTTATCATCTGTTCTGCACTACCTACACAAAGTGTGGTGTTTCCTTACTGTTTTGTAATATGTGGTTTTTCAAAGTTACCAAAGCCTCTTAGAAGACTAAACTGAAATATGTATATTTAATATGTATATTTTGGTTTATTTCTATGGAGATTTTTTAAGTACATCTTTTAAGAGATTACATTCGTGTTCTGTGTATTTAATTATTCTCAGAATTTTAGCTTTTGATAGCAGCGCAGCAGTTACACAATTTTTACAGTATGTAATTTACTAATGCTGTTCCACAAACCTGATAAAATCATTTGAGGGCAAACAAATGGTAACAAACTAGCAGCTACACAGTTATATTAGAACTAGGCTAATCTAGCTATAAAAAACCAAATGCATCAACTGTAGTTTTAAATGAATTTATAAAATAAGGCAATGCCATATCTGCAAATGATCTTACTGAAATCAATGTTATGCTTTGTATGTCTCAGCAGACAACATATGTTTTTATTTAAAAAAGTGTGAGAAATGTTGTGTATGGTTTTTAAATATTGTTTTAATATGTTTTAATAATAAATGTGTAGTTTTTTAAATATTGTTTCCATTCCAGAAGTAGATTATTGCACTTTATAAAAGGACAGGATATCTTTATTTGCCACCTTGATATCTGTACTTCTGTTTAATATGGAGGTTGACTTAATAAGTCAGTCATTATTTTATCATGACAAATTCTTGTAGTGACACTCCTGCTTAGCATTAAACACCCTTTATTTTTTTTTGTGCGTATTAGGCAGATAACAAATTTATCACTTCCTAAATATAGGAATGTATGGGTAGTATCACATTTATGGAAACAAGAAAAATTCTTTAAAGCTGTTCCCTGAAGCTGTATCCTTCACAATATTCTTTAAAATTAAGATAATCTCGTTTCTTTAAAGTTGAAGGAAAAACAGGTTGCAGTTATCCTTCTATTATACAGTGGTGTACTCTGTTCCAAATTTCAGCAAATGAGAAGAATTCCATTAAGTGTGCTTATGTTATAATCTCATTTTTCTGTGGAAAAATGTGGAGTTGTTTTTCTTTTTTTTGTTGTTGTAATAATTTTTTCTGTCCCAGGTGATGTAATAGAAGAGGAAGGAAAAACAGCGTTTAAGAAAGATAGTACATTAATTATATGAAAACAGGATATTGCTTTGTTTTTTTCATTGATTTTGTTTTGTTTCCTTCTCTAAGACTTTGACTTGAAATAAGAAGTGAATGTGATGTAAGAAGCTGGAAATGGGAGAAAAGTAAAGGTTCCCATTAATGCAGAATGTGACTGCTTTCTTCCCACAGAATTAGGAGGTTGGCTGACTCTGCTGGCCTTCAGTGTGCTTTCCCTGATACTTTCTGTTCTTGGGCTTGACTCACGAAATCATTAATGGCTCAAAATCAAGTTGCAGTAAAAATTAAAAGTTGTCCTTGTGACTGATCTAAGAGTCAAAAATTTCATGATGAACTGTGAAGTAAGGCATTTTCCATCAAGAAATTGATTCCAGGGTTGAATCTTCAAATTACTTTGGAGCCTAGAATGGACCAGAATTTGATACTGCCATTCCTGTTTCCTGATGTTTTTTGTCAGGGCCAAAAAGATCAAGTAACAGTCTCCTCTTCATACAAATGAAAATTGTCCAAAGACAACCGTATCATCCCAAAAGCATTGAAGACTAGAAAGAGAAACTTTGAAATCTTTTTGATGAGAGGAGCAGCTTTGTTTAGTAGTAACAAAAAAGTATATGTTAATGATTTTACTAGACATATTTCTGTGAATGGGATGCTGGAGTTCGTGTCCTTGTTGGTAGTCAGTTGACATAAATTATTTTAGAGAGATGGTACAGGCTGACCTAGATATGCAGAAAATTTGTATTTGTGTTTTCTGTCTTGTGAGTGGTGGATTAGTGTGTTATGGAAAGCTTGTGTTGATAAGTTTGTGTCAGTAAAGACATGCTCTGATATGACTTTTTCAGGCAGGAGACAAGATTATCTTATACGTATTCAATCAGATGTTTTTGAGATATAGTGGGTTGTTCTGCTTAGAATTCACCAGAAGACTGGTCCACTTCAAGATTATGTGGAACACAGAAGGGCAAAGGGTTTAATTCTTAGGTGGGCTGTGACCCCCCGAGCAATTGCCAGCCATCTCAGCTAATACTGTGAAGATCAATCATTAAACTACTTTGCAGATTGTATACTGAAAACTGGAATATAATATTTTTGCTCTAGGAATGATGACTGGTGAATATAGTAGCAATCCTTTGCTTCCATAAACCTTTGTCCTTCTCTGCAAAAAGAGCAAAGGGGTTTTTACCTAAGTTTATCTGATCCAGAGGGCTAGGTTAATAACCGCATATAATCAATGGGAATAATTAAGAATAAGTAATTTGATTAGTTGAGCCCCATCTTTTAGGATTCAGGCAAGAACTTTAGAATAAGGTGAGTTATACCTTTGAAGCACCTATTTCTCTCCATTGCTTATATAGAGAGCTTAGCGTGACCAGCTCAGATGTAGACATGTACGTTTACTGCTGAATCCCACACTGGAGAACTACTGAATTTCAAAAGCTGTAAAAAGGATCAGATAGAAGTCTTAGAGAGCTGCATTCACTAATTCTGAGGCAGCATTTCTACAAGAAGCTGGCAGGTCCAGAACAAGTGTTACTTGGCATCCATTTTAAGTCTTCTGTTAGTGCCATCTGATAGAACATTATTTTTCCATTCTTCAGTGAGAGAATTAAAAGGGACAAATTATTTACTACCCCTCCCACCCACCAAGTTTCTGCTGTTTTCAAGTGTCAGTATCAGCTAGGTAAAGTTAAGGAAAAAAGATGTCAGAAAATTAATGAGGGATTAAGTAGTTAGTGCTCAAGATAAGTTTGTGGAAATAAAAGAATTCTTTCCTACATCCTTACTTCTTCAACCAGCTGGTCTCTGCATATTCAACCCCATCTGTCCTCCAGGATTAAAGAGGAAGAAACTTCC